AACTTGATTCTTTTTAAATAGAAACTCAAGTTTAAATATTATAAATGAAAAATTAAATATTAAGAGAATTTTTTTCTTATAAGATTCAATGCGATTTAACTCTAAATTAATAAAAAATAATGTCACTTTGAAATACAGAGCCTCTGTGACCAATCAGCCATCCATTTTACAAAGTCCTCACCCCATGGAATGCATCTATAAGAAGACATGAATCCCATTATAACTGTTCTGCTTAATTCCAGAATATAACATTCCTATAGATGATTAATTTTCCTAACCAAAGTGGAATAAAACCAACAATCAGTCTAGATGTCATGCTCAGTATAGAAAGATAATTATATGCCATTCTCAGGGTAGAAGACGCAAGAAAGATTCCAACCTCAGACTCAATGCATTGTGCCTTACCTAGGCCTATCAATCATATAGCTGAGAGGTAATCTGAATTACCAAAGATAGTACAATTTGAATTATCCCAATTCAAATGCCTTAATTAGCTTCCATATTTCTTGGGAATCCAAACAACAGAAACTTATCTCAAGGCAGGAGTATCTAATAAACATTAAGCTATCAAATATAAGAATAAAGTACCTGGATTTTAGTTACCTTTAAGACAAGCTCGTCAAAGCACTATTCTACATTCACTTGAGTTTTTGGACTGCACTCTATAAAAAGGCTGGGAATTCATATTCCCGAGCAAAGTCAATATCCTCCCTCCTTTTTGAGATCTCATTCACCTTCCTGCAAAAAATCACCAATGTGAATTGTACCACTAAATTCCAGGTATAAAATAATAATGCTCAAGAATCATTCTCAGTAACACTCATATAGGCCCCTGAGAAAATTTCAGATGAATTCAAGATTAAGTTCTGACGGGGGCAAAAATGAAACAAGGATAAAGCAAAATTGATCCAACTAAAGGGATAAATTCACTACATCTTCAATCAATACCTTACCAATTTTGTTTCCAACAAGCATCTTGATGCAGTCCTGATTTGATGAGTACAGATAGATATGTGAATGTTTCCTGCAGGGTTACATCATATACGGTATCAATACCACAAATAAAATACTGCATCAGCATAACAGCCTCTAAGCTCTATTAGCAATTTCATTTACATGTCAACCACAAAAGGGAAAAAAAATTATATGAGTAATAAAACAGCAAGAGTATTCAAATCTAACCAACTAAGAATTAGCAGTAAGCTTCAGAAATCAAGTCAATTTGTTCATGGCTAAGCTTCGTTGCTCTTGCAGCTGGCTGCCATGAACTCATGAAACTTAAGGTCGTGGCATGATCTCTCTGTTATTTCTACTACTCGCTAGCTATTGATCAATTGCTAATTTAGTTCAAATTTGATGAATATCTCAACGACTGAGTGATTTGTGCTTTAAATTTCGAAATAATCTGTTTGAATTTGTGTTTGGCTCCACTGTATGGATGAATTCATTTCGAAAATTTAGCCTGGACACTTGGTTTCTACAGAGATCCGATTCATGATGCTGATCTTCAATATGCCAGATCTCCATTATATCTTGAACTGTTTGTTAGATTGATTGTTCATAGTTTAAATCTTCGTTTTGAATTTGAGAAGTTCTTCTTTAGAATATGTGTGATGAATTTGGAGTTCTATGTTCTGAATTCTGTGAAAATTTTGATTCAGATTCTATCCAAACACCAAATGTTTCTGTTTTTGCTAAAAATATCAGCTACGTTTCGTTTAATTTCCCTGTTTAATCGAGTTTAGTTTTCATCTAAATCAATCGTTTGATTTTGTCCCTGTTCCGAGTTTAAATCCAGTGAGGTGTTCATAGGTGATGAAAAAGAGTTGATCGAAGCTCTACTAGAGCTCCGATAAGGAAAAGGTGACGATCCTAAAGCAGGAGGCAAATCCATAGGGATCCATGTCCACAGAGGCATCGTGCTTGTCGAGCAGCTCCAACGCGATCTCAAATTCACGAAGCAAACACTCCGCCGGAGCTGAGAAAAAACCAGCAGCAAATCTCGAGAAGTTAAGGAAGAAGCGTGGCTTTTTAGGTCAAGTGCGCCGCCGAGTCGAAGGGATTCTAAAGTTGCTTTCGAGCGGTGGCTTCTCTGAAGTGACGATTCGTCGAGTCCTCGGTGACTGCCCGACGGAAGCAAAGCCCTTAGAATGTACTCTCTCTCTGATCTGGATCTGAACCGCCGACGTGTCATATGATGTGGCAATTTCATTCGTACACGTCACAAAATGGTTTGATCATCCCAGCCGTTGGAATTGAAAAATCTTACGGATGGGATGCATCTAATCATATTGCTGGGTTTCTAACCACTTCATCTGTTTGGTTACATTTGGGCCCAATATGTGCCAAACCCAAACGTGTTTGGTTATATTTGGGCCTAATGGATGTGTTTTGTTGCATGTTATCGACAGGCCTCATTGACCTCAGTTACGTAGATGACTGATTAACGGTGATGGTAGGATACCAACTTTGGTCAAACAACTGGGAAGACCACTGCCGCTTATCAGAAATACTTACCAAATTTAGTCTAATTAGCAAGAAAAATATTTGGTGTGTGCAGGTCAGTGAAGCTAGAAGAAGTGAAGGGAACAGGCACAGGAGGGCGTCATGGCCGTGATATTTACACGGTATTTATGCCCCTAATTTCATTCATTGCTCTTTCATGTTTTCTTGTTTTCCAATCCCATTCTTCTTGTTCAACTGCCTATGAAAACTTAATATACAATAATTGAACTCGTATGTTAAAAATGTAATTGTAATTAGTAGTATAAACAGTATTTTCTAGGCCGAATATTATGTCGAATGAAAGAAATTTCTAATATGATAAGAAAATTTTTAACAACAGAAATCTCATAATAACATAATAATAAAATTAATAAAATAAATAATAAGAAAGAGAAAAATATAATGTGATTTCAGATAGTGTCAAAACATTATAATGTATCAAAAAAATCTCACATAAAGTATATAATAAAAAAAACAGTATATATTGATATGAAATTAATATTAGATTAAATTTTCTCAATAAATGATATGTATTAAAATTTGTGTTTTAAGGATATAAGGTAATAGAATATATAAGTAGTGCTATTACTTTATGTATGGGTAACATAGACAAATGAGAAACATTTCAATTACCAGCCGTGGCAAAGCCGTAAAAGAACGGTTTAATATTGTTGCTTTACAATAACTTTCATATATTTTTAAGTACTTCGTCATGCCTTAAAATAACTTCTGCAGTTGAAAGTACTTTCATGTATCTTGTAAAATTTTATAGAACTATTTTATCTGTAAGACAATAGAATTCAAAGGCAGTGTATTTAACCTCCAGACTTGGGGAAGATTCTCTTATTTCCAATTTACCCGAAGAACCTACCTCCTTTGAAATCAAGTTTTGGTTTTTTTAGGATGTATCCTTTAACCCCTGAACCGAGTTTAAGGACACTTGGGATCAGCTGGTCAATTCCAACTATGTATTTTATCTCATCTTATGACTAGTTCTACAGCAGAAAGTATATTATTGTATCCCTCACAGTTTTGTAGGAGACTTGTACTTGCAAAATAATAGAATTCAAATGTTAAATTTTATTCATGCAAAATGAATTGGGCATGATATGCATGATATGCATGATTCTACCTACGGTACATGGTTCTAAGATTTAATAATCTAATCCTAAAATTTAATAACCTTAGTTAAGGTGTTGATTCCTTAAAATATTCTACTAGTTTATATTATGTAAATTAAAGACTTTTAACATAAAAATAGCATTGGTGAATTGTGGCGGTGCATTTGTAATTAATTTCCTATCACATATGAAAATGGGAAGACTTGGTGAAGCTGAAAACACTCCAACCTCGATCAGGCTGCGTTGCATTGTGCCTTACTTCAGTCTATCGACAAATAGTCGTGCAGTAATCCAGATAGACAACTATAGTTCAGAGCATCAAATTCTAGCAGGAAGGAAATCTTTCCATCTCAACCCTAGATTAACTCTGTACCTCAAAAGATAAAATTCAAAATTAACATAAAATCTCAGCCACAACCACTAAAGGGTAACCCAAATGCCAGAGACAAGTGATTAAATATTAGACGGTATCCATGCACCTAAAAATGCAGAAACATTATAGCAAATTTACTATCGATCAAATGCTTCAATGATATTAGCAGTTATCCATGTCTCAACACTATTATGTCAAAATTAATTATTTGTGTGATCAAAATAATTACATAGGCAAAAACAAATTTGTATGCTGATATTTAATCATGTTAGAACATTGCATATTTCCCTTCTTTCATACATATCAACCAAAATGCACTTTTTGCTAATTATCTGAGGTAAGTTCGCAACAGAACAAATTAGCACCTTATCCAGGATTATGCAAACCCATTATATGGTATCCATTGTAGTCTCAGAAGTAAAACAGAAGTATATCAGTATATCAACAACTAAATTATATCCAATTCAAATACTTTAATTAGGTTCCACATTTCTCTTGCATCCAAACAAACACATAAACTTGTCTCAGGGCAGGAGTATCTAATAAAAACATAAGGCTATCAATTGTTGAAAAAGGCAACAGATTTCAGTTACCTTTAAGACAAGCTCGTCATAGCATTTTTCTACATTCACTTTAGTTTTTGCACTGCACTCTATAAAGAGGCATCCATATTCTCTATCCAACCCGTCATTTTGGAATTCCATTTCACTTTCCTGTGAAAGATCAGTACTGATGATTAAATCCCATGCATAAAATAATCCATAACATCAAATAGGCCCATGAGAAAGTTTCAGATGAATTCGAAAGTAAATTGCTAACTAGAACAATATAAAACATGGAAACAAACATTGGTCAAACAGCTAAAGGGTTATTCACTGCTTCTTGAATCAAATACATTATCAACTTTGTTTCCAACAAGCATTTTGATAGATTTACAAATGTTTCCTGCTGTATAACATCATATTCTATCTCAATACCATAAGTAAACAAAAAAAACTGCATCAGAATAAATTAATAGCCTCTAAGCACCATTAGCAAGTCACTTACATTGCAACCAAAAAGATAAAAAGAAGTATTGATATAATAAAAATAGCAAGAGTATTCAGATGTAACGAACTAAGCTGTCACATTCACAAATCTGGTCAATCTGTTCATGGCCAAAGTAGACATCTTTAAGGGCACACATGGCGTCAAATAAGAGGCAAGGAAGCAAGGACTGAAAATGAATGGCAAAACCAGATCAATTAAGAAAACGGACAAAAGAAAGCTCTTAAGCTTTTACATCATATACTGTATCAATACCACAAATAAAATTCTGCATCAGTGTAATAGCTTTTAAGCACCATTAGCAAGTCACCTAGCAAGAATACTTAAATGTAACCAACTAAGCAGTCAACTTTAGAAAGCTGGTCTGTCGTTTCATGGCCAAAGCACACATTGTTGAGAGCAACTACCAAGATTGCTCAGTAATACATGTTGTTCAGGGTAGTAAGGACTGAAAATAAATGGCAACACCATAACAATTAGCTAGGGAAAACTTAAAAAGGACAAAGAAAGTTCTCAAGGTTCCCTCTGCAATTGTCACAATACACATGCAACTGTGGCAGCATGATATTTGCTAAAGCCCCTATGGTCAGAAGCAGGCAGCACACAAGTAATGCATGACAAAATTCACAGTTCTACTATCAAATTTTTTAAATGAGTGAACCTAAAAAGGGGTATAATTCAAATCATATCCTATTTGAGGCATACAATCATGCTCATGCCTATGTCAATAAATTTATGGATAGAGTTAAACGTATGAGGAGAAGGTCTTTAGTCAAAAACCACTGGTTTACATAGCAGAAATCATCAATGCATGGTCGACCGGTTTTTGGAAATCAAAACATGACTTCATTAGAATTTATAAACAACTAAATTATACAGTAAGCTTCCATACTTCTTTCACATCTAAACAACAAATAAACTTGTCTCAAGGGGAAATACATAATAAAGCACTAGGATTTTAGTCCCTTTAAGACAAGCTCGCAAAAATCATTTTTCAACATTTACTCCAGCTTTTGTAGTGCACCCTATAAAAAGGCAGCCATATTCCCAAGCAAAATCAAATACTCTGCTTTCTGGACATAACCCTTTCACTTTCCTATTAAGGTCACCAGTGTGAGTGGTAACATTAAATTCCATGTATAAAATAACACTCAAGAATCATTTTCCATAACATCAAATAGGCCCATTAGAAAGTATCAGATGAGCTTGAGATTTGTCAACTTTGTTCAAAACAATATTGGTCAACTTTGTTTCCAACAAGTATCTTGATGCAGTCCTGAGTAATTTGTTAAATTTAATAAATATATTTAACCCCATAAATTAGATAGATTTGTGAATGTTTCCCTTTGAGTTCCATCTTATACTATATCAATACCACAGGTAAACTACACCATCACTCTAAAAATATAATGCACATAGCCAACAATTCAACAAGAAATCAAATCACAATTAGGTTCGGAATCCAACCTGTCCTTTTGCTCAGACGTAATTAAGACTATCTTGCTAATAATAATCCTCTACATGCAAAAGCAAGTTTTATGCCTAGATGTACAGGAGGAGGATTAGAAATTAGAACATGCTCACATTCTTCAACAAAGAATTAATCCGACTTGACTGCATGGAATTCATAATTCTAGAACAAATTCGGGACACATTAAACAACAAATTTAAATAAAATCCTTTCCAAATACTATACAAAGGAAAAATTGAGATTTTCATTGATCAAACTTAGTCGAGTAAAAAATTAAAGGCAAAAAGCAAGTGTGATCAAGAAACTAAACTTCAATATAAAGAAAAAGCTCTTAGAAACTCGGTTTTCTTCAATCTTCTCAGCAACTAAACAAACCTTTGACAATGATGACGTCAAAACAGATAATTAAAGATAGCAACACAGTCTCTTTAATTAAAAAGAAAATGTGATAAATTTGGAGAAATCTACATCAGATCATAAAGGAAAATATAAGAGAAGGCAAATCTCTAAGAGGGAAAGCAGTTTTATACACCTAGAAGTAAGATTGATGCAACAAACTAGCAAAGAGATGAGCACTGCTGAGTAATGCTGAATGGCTGTCTGCATTGATATATAATTGGAATTGGCACTAGGCACAGTGTTGACAAGATAAACTCTAGCTTGCTTTTGAGACGTACCAGACAAAAATTATTTTCAACAACACTTATCTCTACCAGGCAAGCATTCTAGCAGCAAATCATAATTATCTAGACATATAGTGCTCTCCTCTTTCACACAAAAAAAAAAAAAAGAAAAAAAAAAAGATGTAACTTGAGAAGTTAGATTCTCATGCACTGGCAAAAGTATTAGGCAACTTCACTAAAGCTATGGAATTATCTAATCTAATAGACAAGCAACGCTCAAATAAATTATTGAAATAAAATACCAATAAAGAAAATTGAAATGAAGCAGAATTGCATCTTGAAGGCAGAGTAATTCACTTGTTTCAAATGACAAAATTGTGCCCAAAGATATAAATTTCATACCTTCCTACTGTCATTTAAGAGAGACAAGGGCAATTTCTTCTCCTTCAAAGTAGCATTATAGTTAACTTTACTTCTAATTTTGGAGGTCTCCACAAAAAAATTTGAGCTCTTGTTGATACCAACACCTTCAAATAATGAATAGTGATTATTTCAAAGAAAACATGTCTAACCATGTCCCTGGTATATATAGTTCCTTCACCAATATATTTGATCAAAAAGAAACATGCTCATAAGAACCTTTTTTTCCCATCTAACAATTGATCATTTGACGGGTCACAGGAAAATCTACTCTGCTCTTAGGGGTGAAGATTGCAACATGGGATTGGGTGCCAAATATGATGTATTGGAACAATGTTTTTTCTTAAGTAGTAATCCAGTAGCAGCTCCTTGTCACCAACATGCTTGTCTAGCATATCACCAACATCAGCTTGCCCACAGATGAATGTTAACCCATTAACATCCAAGGATGGACATTAAGCAAAACTCTTCTGAAATAACAGCATTTAACTGGTAATTTACTTTAGCTAGTGAGACATATTCAGACCATGCAATCAGAAAATACAATAAAATAATTTATTTAAAAAGGCAAAAGAAAAGAAGAGGAAAGTACTCTAACCTGAATGCTAGTCCATCTTTAGCGATTCTGAGAAGATAAAGTAACAAGCATGCAGAAATGGTTGATGAAAGTAAGTCTCGGATGTTGATGGCGATGATGATGTTGTTGAATGAAGTTTGAGAAGAGATATGCAAATGCGACCAACTAAAATGCATATCACAAGAAAAGCAAAGATGCAGGTGCAGTAAAATATAAAGACCAAAGGAAATTAATTAGATAGATCCTAATTAATTTCAAGTCTTTTTTGCACACAATGACAAAGACAAAATTACACACAAAATAAAGAAACAAATATTTCTACTTAGATTTTGACATATTTAAACACACAATATAGACACAGCAAAAGCAAAAACAAAGAATATCAAATTTATATTAAATTGAAGACCCAACAGCAACAGCAACAGGTGCAAATGTGATTTCCTTCGACTCTCTTGTGGTTACAAAGCCAAATTCCAACTTTGCTGCCAATAGGAGAGAGACATTTATTAAGATAGAAAGAACGGAAAAAGGAAGCATAAATGTGAAAACTCTTACTATGTTGAATCAGAAATGGAAAATTGAAGGTTAAAGGGCTTACATTTGTGGTGCGTACTGCCACGGAAACTAATAGATCTCTGAAAATTCACAGTAGGGTAAAAGGATGTCTTTCGCATTGGGATGGTCCCATTCCAATGATTCCCACCATTCTTTTGGGTATACCCTAATTTTTTTGAGGGAAGGAGGATGAGATGATTGGGCATTATCAAGTAGGGGAAAATTCAAAGGAATCCTCTTTAGCTTCTCACAGCCTTCAATTACCAGACTCTCCATGGAATCACAAATCAACACATTGGAACCGCTGTAGATGCTTTTCAATTCGGACAAAAAGTCCAAATATAAGCTTTGTAACTTGGGTAGAGTGACTTTTTCTTCTTGATGTGCTGATGACGATATCAACTCCTCTATCTGCGGAGAAAATCGAACCTCTATAGTCTCTAGAGATTGGAAGTAGCAGAGCAGCCGTCCAGATGAGAATACCTTTTTTAAATGATCACACATATAAATCTCAATTTCTTTAAGAGAGAAGGAGCTTGTGGGAGGTACAAGTGGCGATAAACCAAGACCTTCTTCATCAAACACACATTTCAGATTGTCGACCCACCGAAGGCGTAGAGATTCAAGACTTGGAAGTGGGTTGAACCCTGACCCAAAAACACTCTCTATATTACTACTCTCAATATCTATCTCCTTGATGGAATCACAAATCAAAACGGTATTGGAACCACTGTAGATGCTCTTTAACTGGGGCAATGCCACTAATGTCAAGCTTTCTAACTTGGGTAGAGTGACTTTTTCTCCTCCTTCAGAATCAGACCCTATTATCTCCTCCAGTTGCCCGCACCCAATAACTTTAATAGTCTGTAATTTCTGGAGATACCCCAACCACCTAACTGAGAATAACTTCTTTATTTTATCCAAATTACAAAGATCCAACTTCTCAAGGTTTTGAAGCTTCCCCCAAGTTTCAAGCTTCTCCAATTTAAATTTTTTTTGGCTATCTACTACTAAATGTTGAAGTTTGGAGAGATTTTGTAGCAGTTCATCAAGTGTTCCAGATAATCTTCCAGCAAGACTAAGATATTTTAGATTTGTTAACATAGAGAGGCCCTGAGGTAGTTCTTCAATTGATGTGAAAGAAAGGTCCAACTTTTTTAAGCCTACAAGGCTAGATAAAGATGGTACCTCACTTAAGGATTCACAATGCCCCAGCAATAACGTAGTAAGCTTCTCTAATTTGGAAACAGAAGTCGGCAGCCTGCTTAGCTCCCTATTGTTGGAAAGATCAAGAATCTTGAGTTGAAGCATATGCTCAAAAAATGCTTCTGGAATTGTTGAAATCTTGTTATTGGACAATAGCAAGGTTGTCAGCATAGGACACTTTGGAGACGGCTTGCTTGAAGGAATTTCTGTTATGTGATTCCTCATTAAAGAAACCTTCAAACGATCTCTCCATTCATCCTCTTCTGGTAGCTTTTCCAAGGCAATGCCAGCTTTCACAAAAAATTGGCTAATTTCCAGCGCCATTTCTCGGAGAAGATCATGCATACTCACACATTCTTTTCTGTCTATATTTTTAACCGATTGCAACAAGCAGTTGTCAACTAGCTTATCAAGTATATCATGACCTTTCCAATGCATTGCCTCCCTAGTTATCCCTTCTTTATATATAAGCCCCTCCTCAATCCAATACTCAATTAACTCCTCCTTGTAGATTTCAGCATCTTCAGGATACAATGCACAGTATAGAAAACACTCTTGGCATTGTGGTTCTAGGGATTCATAACTGAATTTCAAACAATCAATAATGCTTTCAAATTTACTAAATTCAAAAAGTGCCAACTTCCACTGACGGGGAAGTAATTTCCCTCTCATTGATTTTGCCACTGTCACTATAGCAAGAGGTACTCCACCACATTTCTGCAAAATTTGCTCCAAAAATGGCTTTATATCTACTTTAATTCTGCCATCTGACAACACTGCACTTCCAACTTTCTCCAAGAATAATGCTAATGCTTCTTTAGGTGGAAGAGGATTCACAGAGATCACCTCACACTCCATTGCACGAGCAACTTCTTGTAACCGCGTTGTGAGTATTAACTTGCAACCATTATTTCCATCTAGAATAGGAATTCCAACATCTTCTAGACAAAATTGCTGCCACACATCATCTAGAATTAGCAGAGAGTTGCCTTGCCTCAACCTTTGTGAAATCAATCCTGCAAGCTTGGTTTCATTCTCATGATCCTCGGGCTTCAGTTCTAATCCCAAGCTACTTGCAATCCTTTTCTGAAACTTGAGAATATCAAACCTCTTTCTTTGCTGGACAATAATGTCAAAGTCTCTTGACACTTTTACCCAAATAACTTTGTTAAATTTGGGTTCCGTCAAGAGTTGGTTGTGAACTTGCTTCATAATTGTTGTCTTGCCCACACCGCCCATTCCTGAAACTGCAATTCTTGTAACCTCATCTCCCTTCAACCATTCCAGAATTTGATCTTGTATATCATCCCTGCCCCTGCATTCTTCAACAAGTAGTGGAACTCCTTTGTTTGAGTGATCATCTATGGCCAAAGTCACACCAGCATTAGTGAATTCTTTTCCTTGCTCAAATATTTGCCTCAATTCTTCAATTTTTTTCCAGAGGTTGGTTGATGAGGAACATTCCCCTTTGCTGATCAGATCTTCAACCTTTATGGCAATCAGTTGGCCTGCTTTCTCCAGCCACTCTGTAACATCCTTCCTTGCAATATTTCCAGGCTGCATGCACTGAGTCTTCAAATTTGCTTCAATGAGTTCCTTGTGGTGCTTCAGCCTCCCTTGCTTTTCTTTGAACACAGGTGCACAATACCCCATTGAGTGATCATCTACGACCAAACTCTCACCAGCATTAGTGTATTTTTCTCCTTGATTAAATATTTGCTTCAATTCTTCAATCTTTTTCTCGAGGTTGGACGATGAAGAACATCCCCCTTGGCTGATAAGGTCTTCAACCTTTATAGCAATTTGATGGCATGATTTCTGCATCCAATCTTCAACTTCCTTCCTTGCAATCTTTCCAGGTTGCATACGTTGAGTCTCCAATCTTGCCTCAATGTCTTTTTGCCGAAGCTTCAGCTGCTCTTGCTCTTTTTTTAATACACTTTTGCAATACTCAATTGAGTGATCATCTATGACCAAACTCTGTCCATCATTAGTGTAATTTTCTCCCTGCATACATATTCCTTTATTCAGTGCTTGAGTCTTTTTATCGAGCTTTCTTGATGAGCAAATATATGTGAAACAGCCTCCTTTACAGGTCAGATCTTCAACCTTTACAGCAGTTTCTTTGCGTACTTCCTCCCGCCAATGGTCAACTTGGCTCGCTGCTTTCTTGCCGGGCTGGTTAAGTTGTGTGTTTAATTTTGCCTCAACGTCATCTAGTTGGCGCTCCAGCCTCTCTTGCACTTCTACGAATTGATCCACGTAATCTTTGGGACAAAATTGATACTTGACATATCTCCGAACGGTAGGGCCAACGTCCTTCACAATATCAATGGCTGATTTTATGCTGTCCATTTGGGAGCCCCTGCATGTATAAAATTGTTAGATATAGGCTAATTATTATGCATTAGAAACTTAAGTGTCCATAGGAAATGGAACATAGTACAATTATAAGATAAGAGAAACAATTTTTGAAATTAAAGTATTCGGGAGAAAATTAAATAGAGTTAGAAATTAATGGTGGAAGTACTATGAAGTATGAATGACTAATTTAAGTAAAGAAGCTAATAATTAACTATGTGGTCATCCGGCGGAGCAAACTTGCTTCAGAGCAAACTTGCTTTCAAGGACTAAAATATTAAGATAAAAAGTGAGATTACACACCAACTTTTTTAACAAATAGAAATATGAATAATTGATTTTTCCTGTTATCTTCTTGGCCACAAATTTTTTTTTTCTAGAGTTTTCTCTTCTTTATTTTTTATTTTTTTATCAGCATTTTCTCTTCTTTATTGATCTGTTTGGTTCATGAATGGTTAATGTGTCTGTGTTTTGCAGAATGCACACCAATTGGCTGATGTAATGCCAAGCAGGGCATGGAACGATACTTTTTAGATTTGTTATAGCCCATTGGGAAAATTAATTAAGTAGTTTGCAATTTGAAGATATGTTGATTTAGAAATGTTAAACTTTGCAAAATAATACTTAAGGAACATTCCTATTTCCGTACACGTATTTGAGCTGAATTAGAGTATAATATAAAAGATAATTAATAGCCATTAAGATTATATTAATTCTAAAGGAACACAAAAGATAAATTTATTACTCCTTTTGTTATTTGTTAATTAGAATTAATTTTTTATTTGGGACATTGAAATTTAGTTGTCCACTTTTTATTTTTAAGATGTCATTAAATGTGTATATTTCTATTTTACCATCATTTTAAAAAGATAATTATAACATATATTAAATAAAAAAATCTTATTTAAATAGGACTTAATTAAAAATAAATATGAAATTTTATTAATAAATTATTAATCTTTATTTTATTAAAAAAAACTAGATTTACTAAAAATAAACAAAGGAAGTACAATTTAAATTAAAGATTGTGAGAACTTCTGAAAATGTTCTATTATTTTGTTACTTGGTTCACTATGTACATGTATTGGGGTAAATTTTGTAGGAGATTATGTCTATCAGCTTCAATATAAGATTTGTATTTAACTTAAAACTAATTAATAATAAATAAAGTAACTATTATTGTATTTAATATATATGTTTTTTTCTTATATTTTCAATATGATATTTTCCTATTCAATAAACTCCCTCACTTGTAGGTTCAATATGAATATTGAATCCTATCACATAGGTAATGGCAGGGCCACACTAAGATAGGGGGCTATGGCCCCCCTGGTTTTTTTTGAAAAAAATTTTAAATTTGTCCACAAATTTTATATTTTAGAATTTTTATCCTCAAATTTTATTTTATTCACTTAATTATTTTTAATAGTTATGAAAATAATTATCACTACTCTTTTGTAAATCTTGTCATTAAATTTAAAATCAAATATTGACATAATAATTAGTAACATTTTAATGCTAATTTATTAACTCTAAAAATGACCTTTTAGAAAATTTTAAACTTTCAACATTTCTTTTCAATTTCTAAAAAAATCCCTAGATTATCATCTTTGTAGTGCCAGAAGTTAGTCTAAACTATTCATTTTAATTACTAATATATATTTTTTTAGTCAAATATTAAAATTTTATATCTAACTCAAACTTTTTTATTAAATCAAATCTATTTATTTTATTTTACTATTTGCCATATAAATTTTTTATATGTTTCTA